GATTATACCTTATGTGCACCTGTTCCCAGAATTTCTCAACAAGCAGTTAAACTATCCATCATCTGACTTCTCTAACTGCACTTATGTAATTGATTCTCAAAAATCCTCAAAGATCACAATAAAGACTCTAAAGTTGGGTGTTATTTAATTTCTAGAAGCTTAGAAACACCTTCTACATGTTTACATTAGTAAATGGTACAATATTATTATTAGAAAAAGAGCTAAAACTTTAGTGCTTCAAAGTCTTTTGAACTATGAAGATGAATTTGTTTGCAACGCCTACAGCTAAAGAGGCAAACAAGGGCTTGTTTAAGGTGCTTTTACAGCCAGGGGCGGACTGACCATTCGAGCACTCGGCACTGCCCGAGGGCCCGGGGTCAGTAGGGGGCCCCATGAAATGCTCCTGATACCTTCTTATGGGCTTTTTTGGGTATGCTTTGAGTGTAAGCAAGGACACAGGGGCCCCATGATCCCCGATTGCCCGGGGGTCCCATGAGTTCTCAGTCCGCCCCTGTTTACAGCTTGTTAAGAATGTGCATAGTCTGGGCAAAAATTCACTCTGGCAAATCAGTTTGTTTTTGATATTTTTAGGGTGTGATGGTTGAATTGATGTATATAATGTATATCTAACACAGGTATATAACTTAGATAAAGCAAAGACTGCTTTAAATGATTGATGCACATTATATATACCTTTCTCTTCTCTATCAGTTACTAAGGGAGGTGAGGGCAAAACCCTAGATATTTCCTATTTAGCCGTTTATATCCTAACTACTAAAACAAAAAGTACTTTGTATCTCTTGTGTCAGTTAATCTGCCCTTTCAAAATCATTTTGAACATTCACAGTAACTCAACATGTCGATCGATGAATTGATCAGTGCACTTATGGCAAACTGACACAGTGTATAATTATTTTGTTCCACCAGACTTCATGCTGCTTTCAATTTATTAAACCAATGACTTTTCAATCAATGAACTACATTTTTCAGGCTTTTAATCAGCACAGCTACTCTTCTTAGAATCAGTTTCTTGTTACGCCACATGGGACATTTCCATAATAACTACTGACATCATTTTTAACTAGCCCAGTGATGGTGGATTTATAATAAGAAACAGCAAATTCATATCAGTATGTACATTCTGAATATCATGTTGACAAAAAGCAATATGCAATCTAAATTAACCCCCAGTAACCACCACTTATTTTATTTAATATTTTTATTTATTTTTATCCCACAAGGAAAAAAATGTTGCTGCAGCTGCTTCACCCTAAAGGGTAGGTTCCGCTTTATGTCCTCCTCCCCCCTCCTATAACACTTTTGGGCTTTTTTGGGGGGGGGGGGGGGGGAGAGGGTATGCAGTTTTGGTAGGTACCCACTCTCATTTCCAGTCATATTGCCTAGCTGATTCCAGCAGACATTCCCCCCACCCTGCAACCTCTGGGACACATCACAGGTCCCATGAGGATACAGGACTATTTACACACTGCAGTGTGGCTCATGCATGTGCAGTGGGCAGCCGGCTGTAAAGCCTCAAGCCACAGAGTCAAAGCCGGCTTCCCACACTAATACGTTGGCACCAGATCTTGGGTAAAAATTCTATTTATCTACGTTAGTACAACACGAAAAATATAAAAAAACCCTTCAGTCCTGGTTGAATCAATAACTAATCATTTTAGTTTGGTTTGTATATGATAAGTGTTCGCTGGAGTTCAACTTTTTCTTGTTAGTCTATTAATTTTGTCAGTCGATCTAAACCTGCTGATTCATCCAACTCTACCCTCTCTAAGATTGGAAAAAAGGGCTAACGCAAAAAACTAATGCAAAAATTAAACCACCACATTCAAGGATTGCTAAGCTGCAAGATATTACAATTTTTGTTTTTGGGTTTAGTACCACTTTAACTTCAGCATTCAGGACCCATTCACACCTTGACATTTTGGGGTATCGTGTTAACAGACATATTAACTTATATAAGGTTGTCATTGCATCAAAATGCTGAAAAAAGGGCTTACATCATTTTTACCAATGCAGCACATGACAACACACTATGATTGCTGTGTGCAGCGACACAGGTGCATTGGGGTACCATTTAAAATGAATTGGCCCCTCAGTCTACTATAAACAGGGCATGCTCGGAAAACAGTGTGGACAGTATTCTGGCACAAAATTGAATACTTTTGGGTGTTAAATACTAATGCATAAGACAATCAACACTTATTATTTAATGATCTGACTTAAATAAACTGAAATGTGACACTGCTTTATGGAATACGGTAATTCACAGTCTGTGAACCCAAGTGCATCAACACAAGTTTTACCTTCACCTTATAGTGACACCACAGTCCTCATGTCTTCACATGAACAGCCCATCTCCCCAGAACACTCACTGTATTCTTTGGAATAGATTACAACACATTACATCAAGCTCTGTTAACTTCCAGCAGTCAAGCACACAATACTTATAGATTACTTTGATTGAACCCATATAACTCAATGTAACTACTGAAAGAGAACATAAAACCAATGAAGTGGCATGACATCACTAGGAGAGAAAATCACAAACATTTGTCTATGAAACCAGGGAACAATATTTCAGAGCATTACTTTCCCTCACGCAAAGTCCAGTGAATTCCCTGTAGCATAGCTGACTGCTGGAACACAAAGACAGATGATAAACAGTGCAGGGGTCAGCATGCCCCGGCAATAACCACATGCTGGCTTGCAAAGCAGAATAAGATGTGTTTAAGAGCGCCCACTGCCTACCTAAAATGAACCAAAATCAGAATAAGGAATAAATTCTATATACTACACATATTTTATTGCTATAGTAAATAATGTGAAACATAAAACTGAACTCCAGGCAAACGGCTAAATACACAGATTAAATACATATACAAGAGCTGTTTTACTTCCGAAGGATTCATATTTCTGTATATCCCAAAATATGTCCCGAGACTTAAACAACTGTGAAACACAGCACAGTCCTTTCTGGTAAGGCAGGAGATATGCTGTAATTACAGTGATACTAACCCTCCCATAAATATATTGCATCTTGTGAACCAAAGGTTTGACCATCAATGGTACTATTGAGCTGCAAGCACACAGTGTATGTGTGCGTGAAAAAGCACTGCACTATAAAAATCAATGTGTTAATGATATGTGTATCACAATTAATATACTATGGCAAATCAAACAACAAGAGTCTCAAAATTCATGTGACTTCATGATTATAAATAAACTATCATGAAAGTGCAAAATCTGTGCCAACGAAAATGCAATTGATATAAAATGTGCAATCGATATAGAAGAACAATCAATATGAAACATATAAGTCCATGGTCACATGTGATCCATGCAGATTGATCCATGACTAGTGCCCAATTTAAATGTCTAAGGAAATGTGCCAAGAAATCATCCAATGAGGAAGTACACAAACAGAACCACCACCAGGAACTCCAAAAAGGTGTATTCTCATCTTGGAAATGGGCCTTCTCCTTGTGGTGCTTTGTTTCTCCAAGTCTGAGCTAATAGATTGCAAAAGGCTGATAGCAGGTCAAATCCAGGCAAAAAAAATGTATAATTCAATTCTTGGAGTACAGTACAGGACACAGGCATAGTCGTAGACGACTGAATGATATGTTGCTATGTTCGGATTACTAGATACAGGCAAACAGAACTGTCAGGACCCCATATAATCTCTCCCACTCACAGCAATCCTCAGTATTTTAGCAAGTAATAAAGGATTAACAAGACAGAAGGGAGGGTCCTTATCCTGCACCCTACTCTGAGAAACAGATTTTACAGGTAAGACAAAAATCTTTTTATCTTCATCGTACAGTACAGGACACATGAATGGCGACAGATAGCTGGGATGTCCAAAAGCATACAAAAATGAAGGGTGGGCAAAAGAGTAAACAAATGCAAACAAGCCCACAAAACAAAAACTGTGGTTTGAGAACCTAATAGTTTTTTGGTGCTCCTTATCACCAAAGCCAGCATCAGCAAAGGCTTAAATAGGTAGAACATTGCAAATGTGTGAACAGACTATCAGGTGGCAGTCTTACAAATCTGTGAAATTGATGCTTGTTGCTGAAAAGCCCAAGAATCACTCATGGAACTGATGGAGTGAGTCTGAACAGGTAAGAATACAACTCTGTCCTGCAAGGAATAGGCTTGAATGATGACTTGTCGAATCCACCTAGCAATGGTGGAACGAGAAGCATGAGACCTTCTGTGAGAGCCTTCAAGAAGGAAAAGAAGGGAATCCAAAATTCTAAAGGGGGCCATAGCTGATAAGTAAACATGCATAGCATGAACCACATCCAAGCTGTGCAAACCACCCTGGGATGCTTAACAGCCATATTGAAAGAAGTAAAGGCAACATCCTAATTATGGAGAAAGGAGATCTCCTTGATCACCTTGGTCAGATAAAAAGCCTAAGGTCTCAAAACTAGACACATGCGGTTCGTTTTGTTCCGAATCGAAATTTGGACATTTTAATTATTCAAAGAGTTAGATGTATCCAAATTTCTGAAATACAATAGTAATGAATTCGAATCCAAAATAACAACATTTTATCTGAATTAGTAGATTCTAATGTGTATTCTAAACGTATTTGAAAAAAAATTCAAACTGTAAACATATTGCTGACTATTGCTGATTTCCTTCAATAACTGTGTGTATTACTGTTAGAATATGGCCAGCTCCTGAAATTTTAATTTAGAAAAGAATAGAATAAAACAGAATAGAATAGAAAATAAAAGAATAGAATAGAGAATAAAGAAATAGAAAATAATAGAATAGAAAAAAATAGAATATGGCCGTCTTCTAAAATTTGAATTATGAAATTTGATTTTTGAATAGAATAGCATTAAATAAAAAGAAAAGAGTCATCTTTCGAAATTTGTAAAGAATAGAAAAGAATAAAATAGAATAGAATAGAAATTAATAGAATAAAACGTAGATAGAATAGAAAATAAAATAAAAGAATAGAAAATAAAATAATAGAATAGAAAATAATAGAATAAAAAAATAGAAAAGATTAAAATAGAATAGAATAAAATAGAAAGAATATAGCTGCCTTCTGAAATTCGAATGCAATTGTCTAAGTTTTATACCATATGTTCTGTGTTACTGGTACTCTATGATACCCCAGGTTTAAGTCTTACTTCAGGAGACAGTAGAGTTACAGTACAATTCAATACAGTACAGTACAATTCAAGACAAGAGAGTTAAGAGAGCCCTGCTCGCGACAGCTTACAAACCATAAGGAATGACATTTGGCACAAAGGTAATAACTGTAAGAGTATGAATTGATGAAAAAATAAAAGTTCAGTTGTTAGGTAGAGCCAAAATAGGCTTCCCTGAAGAGATACGTTTTCAAGGCTTGCCTCAGGATGGACATATTGGACTAAAGAGTTCCAGAGGATGGGAGAGGCTCTGAAGAAGCTCTGGAGGCAAGTCTGGAAAGAGGTGACAAGGGAGAAGGTATTGGGAGGAGTGGAGAGGACAGTTTGGGTGACATTTTCAGATAAGATTGGTGATGCAGTTTAGGAGCAGAGTTTTTGATGGCTTAGTATGTTGTTGATAAATTTTTTAATTTTACGCATTGAGCAGTGAGCAGTTAGTAAGGTGGATTAAATCTGGCAACAGTATTCATGATAGACTGAAGGTAAGTCTGTGTAGTGGTAGGCCATCATGGAGGGAGTTGGAACCAGAGGGTAAACATCGGTGAAGAAGGGGTATATTTTGGAAATGTTACAGAGGTGAAAGTGGCAAGATTTGGACAGTGATCAGATTTTAGTGCTGAAAAGTCAGGTCAGAGTCCAGAATTATACCTAGCATTCTTACATGAGGGCAGGGAATGATAGTTGTTTTATTGAAGAAATAAAACATTATATACAGAATTACAGAGTACTGGGAATATATGCACACATTCCAGGTGGTAATTGAGATAGGTGTATGTAAAAGCACATATTTTGGTTAGTTTTGGACAGAATGAGAAAGCGTAAGACCTTTTGTCAATTTGTTTTCTCTGTAACCCTGGTGGGAAGATTCACTTCTCTGTCCAGCTTGGTATCCATTGTCACAGAGAGAAAAAGTGAGGGGAAAACAAATAATTTCGAGTTGCCACCAGAGCAAGAGGTGGGAAAAAAGTTCTTGAATGGAAATGCTTGTCCTTGTGGCAATTTTCCAAAATGGAAATTCCATTCAAATTTGAAGGGTTTTCCTCTCATTTCCTTTTACATATCCTGGACAGGAAATAAAAGGAAAAAAGTTTTACATAAACTATGACATACAGTAGGGGGTACTGGATTTAATAAAGGGGTACTTATTTTAATAACGTTGATAAAAACTCCCTTAAACCACTAATAGTATAAATATAGAGCCACTTCTAACATGTTCATGAATGCACTTAGTGTCATTTAATATGATGTATTTTAGTCAAATAAAATACGTCTGCCTAACTGCTTTAATACAGTATGTGTAAAGCAGTAGTGATGGCACCACTTTAACCCAATATTTACAATCCATTGCACAACAGAATATTAATCAATACAGCATGCCATAGTGTAACTCAAGATTAAAAGTAAACACCCCTCATGGTGTTGTAATAAAAGTGGTCAAAGGCATTCTTCTAATCATATAATTAAATACACCGGAGGTGTCCGATTACTGCCAAAGCCATTGCATAAGAAATAAAAACTACGGTTTAAAAGTCCTTATTATATGGGTTTTCAAGCTAAGGGCATACAAACACTATGAACTGGAATCCATTTCCTTATTTCTGATTTACTTTGGACTCTATCTACGTATTGGGCAGATAGATTGCAAGTGAATCTCAGCATCCAGAAAAGATTTTATATCTTTGGCTGTGAAAATCTTGGAGGCTGTTTCCAGGGTATAAACTGCCACTGGATTTCAAAAATAGCTTGCCATACAGAAAAATATGACTTTTCCATAAAAAGACAATATGCAAGAGTTCACAGTGCCGTAAATTAATCATCAAGTGTCAGCTTTCCTATCCTGTTTTTTATTTATTAAAATAAAATGGAAAAAAGTATGATTTTCATGGAATGACTCATACATAAATATTACATATGTTTTAGTATACTGTAGATAGGGGTACTGAATCAGCTCTGAAAATAATACTGTCTGATAACACAAAAAATGTCGATGTAGTGTTTTTCCATAATCTGTGAAAAGGTTTCTCATTTAGATAGATAAAATAAAATTTCGTTTTTACAAAAGCTCCCATATGGGCATCCCTCGATCCAAAACGAACATTTCGGTCTAGAGTCCCACAGCAAACGTCTTTTGGTCTTATAGTAACAGTATTGTTGCATCAGAGTTCCCAGCTCTGCCAACAAGTCACAACTAATAGTGGATATGACACTCTTAGTTGGATCTTTAGTTACATTACAGACAGCCAAAGTTCGTAAATGTTCAAAATAATATTTTATAGCTTTTTTCTAACTTATATAAAAATGTTTGGTAAAGAAATAAACATTTGATTTTTATGTTTCATCCATCACACAAACACAATTTTTCTCTCTCTATTTAAATTTTGGACAGAGATGGCTGAACACTGTTCGAGGAAGGGAAATGATTTAATCACTGCTCTGACTCATTCAATGGTATTTAAATTTCAGCTTGGAACTATTGAGCTCTGTCAACAATAGATTTTTTTTTTCCAACAGTATAGATAAGGATAGAAATTAAACATGCAGGACATGGCCCACAGAGCCACCTACTGTGTTTAAAATAACAAAAGTTTATGCAATATTTCATGGTAACACAGGTTACATGACATCAAGTATTTACAATATGAATGCACGTTAACTAAATAATATGTTAGTACATCAACAAATTGTTCCTATACCATAATCACCATAATCTCCAAAAAGTCAATAACCTTTTTTCAGTAGTTTTTATTTTGCAGTCACAAAATCACAAAGCCTTCTATACTGTCCCTTTTTCTTGAGAGTGGGAGGTGTGTCACTTTCCAAAGTAGGCAGGTTTTTTTATTCGGCGCACACAGCCAAGAAGTACACTCCCCACTGTGTATGCTATGTTCCATATGGCTGATGCAAACATGTCAGAAGGAACTTCTGGGAGCTGCAATATTCAAAGAAGCACTGGCTGGGGGTGCGGCTGCTAATCTAATTATAATTAGGAGATATAGGACACGTGTATAAGCATGGCATCCTTTATCTTAAAAGAAGAAGGAATATGCAAACTCACCACACCAAGATGGATCTGGATTCATGCTTTGGCATGGTCAGAATTAGCATTAGTGATGAAGAACTGGCAGGATCAACAAGTATTTGGGAGGAACTGAAGAATTCTAAAATGCTGTGCTATATGATAAATATCTGCCAGCAATATCCATCTGCACTATCTCACATGCCATGTATTGACTGCTAATTGACACTGCTGTGCAATATGGTAATCTATATTGCTTTCAAAATCCCCCTCTAACTGAAGCTGATTCATTACTATCAGTGTTCTTATTGGTAATATTTGCTGCTTCCAAAATCTTTAGCTCTGTTCATATTACTGTAATGTTTATTTTGCTCTTATTGTCTAACCAAACTTTATCAGCTGATCTTTACAACTCTGCCCTCCCGATCTCTTGCTGTCTCTTGTAGTCCTCCTTTGGTGTGAGATGTTTGCCTTGCTAGCCATGTGTCTCTCCTATGCATTACTAATTCATGAATTGGCAATACCCCCACCCAACTCAGTATAAATTTAGGCCTTTAAGGGAAGGCACAGCCAGGGGTAGCTTTGGCAACTATCATCTTGGATAAATTATTCATCTTGGATAAAGTATTGAGCATTGCACTTCGGCTCTGCACTTCAGCGAATGCAGAAAGCGAGAAGTCACAGCAGACATCTCCAAATACTAAACAAACTACAGCTGACCTGTTTCCCCATCCAGCTTTTTCATCTCTTACCCAGTCTGCTTCCTAATCTCACCATTCTGTAACATGCACTCCCTACTCCTCCTCACAGTTGTATCTTCTCTCTTCACTTCAAACTTTCTTTCCTTCACCCCTCTACACTCCTTGTCCACCTGCACAATCAATACTTCCCTTGTTTATCCCAGCTACTATAGAGGAGGTTTTGGTAAACATTTTATTCCATTCTCTTACTCTTGGACCTCTCTGCTGCCTTTGACACAGTTGACTACCCTCTCCTCCTCAAAAAACTCTATTTACTTGGCCTCCGTGACTATACTCTCTGTTGGTTTGAATCTTACCTATCTCATTGCACCTTCAGTGTCACTTACAACTCTACTTCCTCCTCTCCTTCTCCTCTTACTGTTGGGGTCCCCCAAGGTTCTGTCATTGAATTTCTCCTTTTCTCGATCTACACTTCTTCCCTGGGTCAGCTGATAGTTTCCAATACCATTTCTATGCTGATGACACACAAATCGTCCTCTCTTCTCCTCAGCTCACCTCATCAGTTTCCTCACGCATCACTGATTTACTAACAGACATATCAGATTGGATGTCACGACACTTCCTAAAACTCAATCTATCCAAAACTGAGCTCATAATATTTCCTCCCCCATGTGCCTCTTCCCCTGATTTTTTGGTCAGGATCAATAGCACAACTATCAACCCATACCCGAATGCCAGGGTGCTAGGGTTAACCCTGGATTCTTTCAGGCCCACATCCAATCCCTGCCCAAATCATGGGCAACATCTCCAGAATACGCCCCTTTTTAACCAATGATACAAAAAAGCTTCTAACTCACTCCCTGGTTATCTCCCGACTACTGCAACTCCCTCCTCATTGGCTTACCATTACATAGGCTATTCCCCCTCCAGTCCATCATGAATGCTGCTGCCAGGCTCATCCACCTTACCAACCATTTAGTGTCTGCTACTCCTCTCTGATAATCCCTCCATTGGCTTCCACTCATCCAATGAATAAAATTCAAAATACGAACAATAACTTACAAAGCCATCCACAACTCTGCCCCCAGCTACATCACCAATCTGGTCTCAAAATATCAACCAAACTGCTCTCTTCAATCCTCCCAAGACCTTCTGCTCTCTAGTTTCCATGTCACCTCCTCCCATGCTCATCTCCAGGACTT